ATTAAGAGTAATGCGTTATTTTACTCATGAAATCATTTGAAAATTCGTATTGTTGCGTGCGTACGGGTTCGTAATGAATAGAACGCCGAAGTCCGATAAAAAGTGAATAAAATTTATTCTTATCACAACAAATAAAACAAAATGTTGAAATTTCTTCAGAGATACTCGTACTATATCGCAACATCTCACAGTAGTTATATTTTAAACTACTAAAACGTTCAATAAAACTAAAAAAAAAAAAAAAAAGAAAACTAATCCGACCACGAATTCGCTACAGTCAATAACAAAAACTTAGTAAACAACTGAATTGAGATGTTTTCCTCCAGCTTTTATAAACTTTTTAATCCCTCACGAGAATATTCTGGTATTTTCTCGATTTTTCTGGATAGCAAAAGGGGACAATTACGAGGTATCTATCTATTAAGATGTTAAATGTGCGTGCTCCCTTATTTTAATTTTTCCTGCGTAGCTTTCTATTCAGATAAGTCTCGTGCTGCATTGCACGGAAATGTAAAACGATTTTAATTACAAATTCTACTAAAAAATAGCTAAATAGATATAAAAACCATAACACTGCCCCTTTCCAAAAGACTGCACGTCCCGGGCAGTACAATCCCTGAACAGGAAGCCAAACTTACAAGTAAGGCATAAATAATCCAAAGGTCCACACTGCTGCTCTTCACATCTCGAATTGCCTACCATATTTCTTCTGATTAAGAAAACAGACGCATAAACTTCACCGTCCTAACACTAAAAAGAACATAATTAATTCATATTCTGGCCTTTTGTGTATATTATGTACATTTACATTTTTATTATACCTTATTTTATAAATAGCTTTCAATTTTTCAACTTATGTTTCATTAATATTGAAAAGATTGTTTATTATGTTTTATAACAATTACTTTGAATTCTATTTAATAAATTTGGCAAAGATTAAATGTGTATACAAATAGCTTTGAATTAACATGCATGAAAGCGAGTGTATCGGGGGACACTTTAATCAACTAATTTCGAGAAAACTTTTTAATGCTGCTTAATCTAGCAAAGAAATTTGATTACCACTACTCAATTTGCGAATAATATCTCGAGATTTCTAAAAATTCATAAACTTAACGGAACTGCTACATTCATGATGAATTCTTTAATCTCACTAATTTGGATTAAAACGCAAATCACAGGATTGGCTTTAACTCAAATTGACATTTTGGCATCATTCTTCTTACTTGAGTAAATGACGAAACACCTTCGCATTTATTAATTATTGTTAATTGAACGGGAGTTGGTTGGTTCCCCTTGAAAAGTCAACCAATTTCCGATCAATGACGATAATTACTTAGTTTATTAATTTTCATTTAAAAAAATTTACGTTTTCTATTTTTCATGATTTAAATTTTATTTACTTTAAAAATACTATTAGAATATAATATACTCCATGCTACTTTAGTAACCAAATTATTATTATATCCCTTTTCAGCTATTGCGCAAATATTAGGAATTTTATTTCGATTTCAGTGAATTTCAATTATACATATATATGTAATATTTAATAGAGGAGAATTATCGACTAGAAATCGAAAGGAAAATTGGGAACTTTAATTAGTTTTTTGAATTATTATATGTATGTGTTCCGATCAATGACAATGATTACTTGCAATTAATTTAATTCTTGATTTTAATTTAGGCCTTTTAAAATTGTTATTCATGATTTAATTAATTAAACATTTTTAACAATTTACATTCAAGTTACTTAAAAACATCTTTCGAAATAGAACTTACTAAGTATGGATTCACTCTTTTCAGATCATTCTACTATAATTAATCTTAGGAGATAATATAATCAATTTTATTTAGTATATATGTAATAATAAAATTCCATAGTCAAAAATACACTTAAAATTCTAACTGTATGTTCTTTTCATTTTTAATGGCGACGGTCCTCTTATTTGAAAGTACGTGGAATTAAATCTACAGCCCCGTAGTCAAGTTGTTTTTCCCGCCTTTTCTACACGTACAGTTATAGAATGTTCTGGAGATATTTAAAGCGAACTGGAATGGCTGACGAAGCTGACATCATTTCTTGGAAGCTCCGCTTTTCCAGAGGCTATAAAAGGACTCGCAAAGGAATATCGGGGTCTTTTCTTTAATATAACGATGCAGTAAATTTCATACAAAAAGTTATTAGTAGTTCTTTTTTATTTACTCCGGAGATCTGATTTTGTAACTGCTATTTCTCCTGAATAATAATAAATGGAACCTTTTTTTTTTTAAAACTTATCGTCTGATAATTTGACTTACGACTACATCTATGATTCTTCACCAATCTATTTATCCCGGACAAAAGCTGGTACATTACATATATTATATATATATATATATATATATACCCATTCTATTACCCGGCTCTGAACTCAGTTTTTTATTCTTATGGGGTGTAGTGGCCGAAACCGCTACGCAAACCCTGGGATGTAAGACAGGGTTAAAATGAACTTCAAACTAAAGTTTTAAAAATAACATGAATTTTAATAAGCTGAAAACCTTAGCAGTTGCATATCTTGACAACATGGCACTTGGCTATATTTAGACTCGTAATTTCAGAATTTTGTTGCAGGAAAAATGCTCTAACGCATTATACACGAGGAATGATCGTTCTTAGCAGGCCAACATGCCCATAGCTCCAAACAGGAAATTTGTACTCTCATCTCAGGAAAATAACTTACATATTTCCCTGTGTTTACTTACGCTGAACTCCCTGCGGGGGGGGGGAGATTCTTTCACTCATACATAACAAAGTGTCCATCTCTTGACCCTGACGAAAAGATTTCATTTATCTCTTTGCCAGCAACCTTCAAGCCTGCAACCGGAATCGTTAACAAAGGCACAGGAATTCACCACTGATATGAAAACTATTGCACTCTGAAATCACTCACCCTCGAGAGTGAACCTTGATGCCACCTTATCACACTCATATGTTGGTAAAGTGTGCATTTTTTGCTTTAAAAGTCACTGAATTCTGTTCTAATGGTCCGGGTAAGGTTCTCAGGCCTTTATATGGGCATTTTAGGCCTTTTTGAAAGATGTTTCAGTGCTACTAAGCCTAACGTAACCTCCATATGTTGGCATTTGAAACTAGTGAAATAGTGAAATAAAGTCAGCTTCTGCAGTTTCAGTGCTTTTTTGCCGTGTGGGACCAAAAGTAAACTTTTAGTTTTGCGCACCGAAAAATCAGTTTTCTTCCTGTTGGCCGAATTGTTCGTTTTTGCATAGAAATTTTAATTTTAATTGTAAAAATTGTTTTTTCAATTGTTTTAACTGTATGTGTTGTTTTACATTTTTCTCGTTTTTACAATTTTTGATGAACATATTTTGAGTTTTTGCGTATTTTTGGCTTGCTGCAAAGTGAGTGCTGAATTAAACGAATGAGAAACATCTCTAATGAAATTCGAGGAAATAAGTTTAAATGAAATGCAACAAAGGCTGTGTATAATTTAATAGGCCATACGAGGAAGTCTCGTGGTGTGCACATCAGACTTTTATTTTTCAGGCAACCTATTCATAACTGTAACGCAATGTAGAGAAGAAAGTACTAATGAGCCGTGGAGATAGTTAAACTTATGAGAGTTACGAGAGCAGGTATCCTTGATTTTGCTGAGTCAGTATTTCAGAAGTGTTATGTTTGCAGTTCAAACTAATTTAAGAATGGTCTTGCAAGTCTGAGCAGAATTTTCGCTGGTATTTCCGGTTTCGTTCGTACTGTATCACTACAGGTCAATTTGTAGAGAATGAACATTCTGATAAAGTTGTGGTACTTTAAATGGAGTTTTTACTCTTAGTGACGTAGTAGGTACAGTAGAAGTCCATTAGTCCGGCATCCAACAGTCCGGAATGCCCGATAGTCCGGCATCGCTCCGGAAAATTGTAAAAATTTTGGTTTTCTCCAAAAGTGTGTCTTTAAAGCAAATAAAACCGCTCGAGAGCTATTCGGAAGTTTTCGGGGTAGTTCGAGATCATCCGGAAGCGCTCGGTATTGTTCTGAAACAATTAGCGGCCGGCTAGTCTCAGCTGTCACAACAAATTCAGGTGCAGTGCAGCTCCGTTAATCAATCACGAAGCGTCTTCGCCATTTTTTTGTGCGTTGTTGTTTTGTGTCCTTTCACATCGCAGTAAACGTAATTTTTGAAACTGTTTATAAAAAAAGTGATTTTCGTTCTAACTGTACAGTGACCATGTTTTCAAAACCTAAGCCTTCGAGTTCAAAAGGAGAGAAACGAAAACACGTAACACTGACTCTCAATCAGAAACTAGAAATCATCAAACGGCTAGAAAAAGGCGAGAATAGAAATGTTTTAATGAATGAGTTTAATATTGGCTCATCAACTATTTATGACATTAAAAAACAAAAAGATGAACTAATGAAGTTTGCTTCTCAATCGGTAACAACTGAAAAATTGGCTTCTAGACAAACATTAAAAAAACCAAAACTGGAACAGCTAGATAGTGTATTGTTCAAATGGTTTAGTGCGGTACGTTCTGAAGGAAAGCCGGTAACAGGGCCAATGATTGTTGAAAAGGCAAAGAAATTCGGCCAAGATTTAGGAGTTGCTGAAAGTGAATGTAATTATTCTGATGGTTGGCTCAGAAACTTTAAGTTTCGGCATGGAATTCGAAGACTTGATGTAACTGGAGAAACCCTTTCAGCAAACCAAAACTCTGCAGAAAAATACAAAGACGAGTTTGAGAAAATCGTGGCTGATAATGATTTAACACCTGAACAGATTTACAATGCTGATGAAACAGGGCTATTGTGGCGATGTTTACCAACATCTACACTAGCTGGGGAGGAGAAAAAGCAGCCAAGGGTTTTAAAAAAAACAAAGACAGATTAACCGTTTTGCTATGTGCTAATGCGTCTGGAAACCACCGAGTGACCCCTTTTGTGATAGGTAAATCTGCAAAACCCAGGGCTTTTAAGAATGTTACACACTTGCCTGTCCAATACGATGCTCAATCAAATGCGTGGATTACTGCCGCCCTCTTTAAAGACTGGTTTTTTTCACCACTTTGTGCCTGAGGTCAAGGAATACTTCAAAAGCCTTGGTCTACCAGAAGATACTAAAGCCATCCTTCTTTTGGAAAATTGCAAAGCCCATCCGCCAGTAGATGAGTTAGTTTCTGGAAATATTGTTGCTACTCTGCTTCCACCTAAAGTAACATCTTTGATTCAACCCATGGACCAAGGGGTTATTCAAAATTTTAAATGCTTTTATAGAAGGTCTTTTATTCAAGGCCTGTTAAATGCCGACTGTGACGTGATTGATTTTCAAAAAAAGTTTACAGTAAAAGATGCCGTCTATGCTATTGCACAGTCTTGGAACCAGGTAAAAAATACAACACTCCAAAAATGCTGGAGAAAACTTTGGCCAGCTGCAAACCCTGCATCTGACCTAACTCTACAGACTGATGAGGAAGAAAACCATCAAGACGCTCTGACCAAAGTTTTGGATGTCGTTAGAAGTACTGACAATCCCTTGAAAAACCTGCCTGAAGATGAGGTAGAGGAGTGGCTTTTAATCGACGAGAATGAGCCTGTTGAACAAGAACTAACCGATAAGGACATTATCAACACTGTAGTAAACCCTCAGCCTACTCAAAATCTTGAAGAAAATGACTCAGATGCCGAAACGGAAGAAAAGGAAAAAATCAGCTGGGCAGAAGCTGCAGAATCACTAAATAAGTTTATCTCTTTTGCCGAGGCTAGTACTAGCTACAGTGCTTCAGAAATTATTGATTTCCATATCATTAGAAATAAATTTTATACTAAACGCCAAAAGTCAAGAAAACAAAAAGACATTCGTGACTTTTTTTAAATCTAAGTGAAATATGTTTTACGGTACGTGTACATACATTATATGAAATGTAAAATAAACTTTGTTGTATGTATTTGCATACTGTATTTTTAGTTTAATTATTAACCTAATTGTTCTTATAATTACCGCCCGATAGACCGGAATTTTCGGTAGTCCGGCACCGAGCCGGTCCCGAACGTGCCGGATTATCGGACTTCTACTGTATGAACTAAAATTTATTTCCACCGGTATCGTGTTTCAACGAAATACGATATTATTACATATATAGACTTTATCTCAATTCAACGAATATTATTACATATAGACTTTATCTTCTGTCTGCTGCTGCTTTCTTGCCACAAAGTTATCAAAAATGTAAGATCAAAATTCCTGCTCCTGAATATTATTACATATATATATATATATATATGTACGTATATACCCACTCTGTTATCCGGCTCCGTGATCTAAGTTTTTTTACTTTTATATGTTCGTAAATTCTGCATATTTTACTTTAAATTGGATTGAGTTATATTGTTCTTATGATCCGGTTAAGGTTTTATATCTTTATTTAACCTGCATGCAATAGTTGTAGAATTATCAACAATTTAAAAGTTTTCCAAATTCTACTAAACCTCACGATGCCGCCATTTGTTTACATTTGAAACTTAGTAGAATAGTGAATTAAGTCAGTTTCTGCACCAGCTTGAGTGTCTTTTGACCGCTGTCTATTTCATTTGAACGAAGTTTTTGCGTCACAACTGTACGTACGCACAGAATAAAGGACTCTTTTTCCAAAAATGAATTGTGAAATGGATTTAAAATGGATTCAGAAAAGATTATTTTCGTGACGTCTGTACGTACATGTGTACGTACGTATGTACGTATGTATGTGTCTCCCCTAACTCCAAAACGACTAGCCTCAGAAGGTTGAAATTTTATATCTGGGACTGCTATAATATGTAGATGTGAAGCTTCCTTTTTGGCTGCAATCAGCCGCACTTATATATATATATATATATATATGATATAATAAAAGCACAGGAAAGGAAAAGACAGACGGAGCACTGTTGATGCGTATTTATCCTATAAGATTGCGTCGTAAGCTAATGTGTTGACTTCGTAAATAAAACTTGGCAGTCGAGGCGATTTTAATTCCATTTTTATTTCCAATTGACATTATGTGGCCACAGATCACTTGGCACCCTAATCGTGCCTGTTCAAGAACACTTACATTATTGATATTATTGCAATAGGAAGCATCGTAGCGAAATTGGGTCCAAGCACAGCACAGACAAAGAATTTTCAATTTGAATTCATTGTTAAAAATGTTATCTGTAAGATTTTATACTTTAAAAAGTTATTTATATCAAACTTTTGTGATTTTTTCTCACTGTTGTATTTACCTAGTTTTGCTAATTCTGCAATGCTTGATTCTAAAAAGACTTTTCTGTCGCCACGCCTTTTTCTCTTTGAATGGGGGAGGGGGAACTGTAAGATAAAAAAATATGTGAATCAAAATTATAATTTAAACTAACGGTAAAACATTAATTCTCTCTCTCTATTCTAAAAATTGCAATAAATTCTCTGAATTGCGTCATTTCTAGGTCATTCTATGACTTGCGTTTAAAAAAATTTTTTAAAAATATGTAAGAAAAATAAAGACTATTTAAAAGATTAAATTAGCAGCGTAAATTAATCTCCCTTCTCTATTCTAAAAATAGTAACTCTTCTCTGCACTGCTTCATTTCTAAAAAAAATCTATGTCACATGACTTTTACGTAATTCTGGTGATGTAAACTGAACTAAAACTCAAGCAGCCGATAATAATTTTACAGCAATATTAACTATTCAATCAAAATGCATTGAGAACCAAAACTAACTCAATTAAACTTAAGATTTCATCCTGAACATTATGCACTTGCTTTCCACGCTTTAGTCTAGCTAGACTTCATCTTCTGTCTGCTGCTGCTTTCTTGCTACAAAGTTATCAAAAAATGTAAGATCAAAATTCCTCCTCCTGAATATTATTGCATATATATATACAAGTATATACCCACTCTATTATCCGGCTCGGTGATCTAAGTTTTTTACTTTGATATGTTCGTAAATTCTGCATTTTATACTTTAAATGGGATTGAGTTATATTGTTCTTATGGTCCGTTTAAGGTTTTTATATCTTTATTTAACCTGTATGCAATAGTTGTAGAATTATCAACAATTTAAAAGTTTTTTTAATTTCACTAAACCTAACGCCGCCATTCGTTTACATTTGAAACTTAGTAGGATAGTGAATTAAGTCTGTTTCTGCACCAGCTTGAGTGTCTTTTTGCCGGGTGGGATCAAAAGTTTTGTGCATCGCAAAATCTGTCTTTTTGCATAATTTGAATTGTTAATTTTGTTTTTAATGATTTTTAACTCTATTTGGTGTACTTTAGAATTCTGCTACTCTATTTTCTGTACTTTAGAATTTTTAATGAAGAATATGTTTTGAGTTTTTATGTATTTTTTCCTTGCCGTGAGGTGCGAAAAGCATTGATTGAATGAGAAATATATCTGCGATGAATATGTAATATATCTGTAATATATATCTGTAATGAATCTGTAATTTCATACGTTTAAATGAAATGCAACAAAAAGCGTGCATCATTTAACAGGCCGTACAAGGAAATCATGTGATGTTCACATCAGATTTTTAAAATATTTCTCGATTATTTTACACTCGAAATATGAATTCTGAACGTTTCGCAAGACTGAAGTTAGTTGTAGAGAGTTCAGAAAAAGATTAATGCAGATATTTTATCTTTTTAACTTTATTAGTAATCTGTCTAATATATCTTTTCTTACAATAAAATAAGCAGATGAAATGTACCGGGTGACCCGAAAGTAACATTTGAAGGAAAAAAAAAAAAAAAAAAAAAAGACTGTGCAAATTTCAAAGGGAATACTAATGGCAAATTGTTTCAATGGATGACAACGCTATAAGTAATTTATCACTTGAAATTTAATTTGCAGTTTATGCTGTTAATTTTACTAACTGTTTATTTGGTGTAAGATGGAAAAGAGTTTTCTCCAAGCAGAACGAATTTTACATAACTTCGCAAGGCATATTTGTTTGTTCTTGACTGCAGCATTTTATTCCTATCTTTGTCCATTTTATCCGAATTCATTTCTTGTGGTAAATGCTTCCAAAACGTTCCCGAAATCGAAACCAAATTACTACGCGGTGATCATTTCCTTGTTAGATTAAAGAACATTGCAGAAAGTCAGCTTAAACGCTTTAATAACTGCTAAGTAAGAATGCGTCGCGAAGTAATGCTCAATGATAAAAGCTCCTTCCGCTTGGGAAAAACGCATCTCCATCCTACATCAAACAAACACTTTTTAAAATTAACAGCATAAACTGGAAATCAAATTTCAAGTCATATATTACTTTTAATGTTATTTTTTTTATACAAACTGCAAGACACGTGCATACAGAATAATAATTTAAAATAAATGTATAAAAATAAGCTATGAATCAAACAGAACTAAACATTTACTTAATTTAAAAAAAAAATTTTCAATCAATCTTGCTCAGTAGTTTTCGAAAGTACATTAATTATCTAAACATTTAAGTTGTTATGATTTGTTATTCTTAACGAAACTTTAAGCAAAATATTTTGCCTTTCATGAAACAAGTATATTAACATTTTGAAACTGTTAGAATTTATTCCAACTGAGACATCAAGCTTTCTTTCCTTTTCCATAAAATCTGCTGTAAACAGCACTATCTTGTTAAGAACCCATGTAAAGAACAATCCTGTCTGTTTAAGATTAAAAAAAAAAAAAAAATGGCTACATCAGAATACTGAAATAGCCTGTCTAACATACGCTTTGTTTTTTCTAACAATTGCTGTATATGTTTGGCTTCTTCGTCTTTTTTATTCTCAGGAAATTAGGCTTAACTTTAAATTTAGCTGCTACCTCACCTTATTTATCATTGATGGGTATTAAGCATTTAAGAATTATGATTTATATATATGAAATTCAATTACCAATTGAAATTATCTATGAAATTCAACTACCGATTGAAATTATATATGAAATTCTATTAGCAATTGAAATAACATATGAAATTCAATTAAGAATTGAAATTAATAGGTAATTCAGTTACCAATTGAAATTATGTATGAAGATGAATTAACGATTGAAGTCAATTACCATTCAAAATTTATTAAGGAATTTTTAAACGTGAACATCCACATCATTTTCGCGTATCTTTAAATATGAACATCTACATCATCTTCGAACATCTCTAAACGTTAACATCTGCATCATTCAACACATTTTTCATCATTTTAATTATTTTTGAACATCTACTAAAAGTTAGTCTTCTAAACTGGAGAAGTTTTAAACATACCGACTTCAACAACCATTTCTAACCTAGTTTCAACCCATATTACCAGATTTACCCCAGCATCCAAACAAACACAGTTTTAAATATACTTTGCTTATAGCTATCCAAAAAGCATAATGAAAAACATTTGAATTAATACTTTTTATCTGCAGGGATTAGGTACCTAACACGTTTCTGGAATAATAAGATTTCAGGTAACGAGACTATAAAACCATACAAAATGATGGTTTCTGTTCAATATTAACATTCATGCAGACTTTGAATAATTCCGTTTGCAAAGAAAGAGATACGAATAGAAAGAGAAGGTGTGATTAAGCATATTATTTGGATTTAATAATGAAAATTAATTATTCAGTAAAAATATTAGTTGATATATAAATTATTAACAAGGTGAAAAAAACGTTTTCATAGTGGTCCAGTGAATTTTGAGAAGATTCTCTATAATATTCCCGAGATAGATCCTCTATCTCGATAAATTTTCCTGCCAAAGATAAAATTTCATCTAAAG